TAATACAAGGTGTTGAAAATACCTGTGGCATGTAGTGAACGTCTGGTATATTGACGGGTCATAAAATACAGGGATTAGGAAGGGAGGGACGGGGGGGGGAGGGAAGAAAGAAAGAAGGGAGGGAGGGTAGAAGACGAGAGAAAGGAAGACGAGGGAAGGTTGAGAATGAAGGAAGGGGGAGGGACTGGAGAATGAGAGAGAGGAAGAGAGGAGGGAAGGAAGTAAATCATAGTCGAAATGAAAGAACAGTGAAGACAGTAAGAGTAGATAGTGAGGAAAGTAGAATAGAAAGTGAAGAAAGTAGAATAGAAAGTGAAGAAAGTAGGATAGAAAGTGAAGAAAGTAGATTAGAAAGTGAAGAAAGTAGATTAGAAAGTGACGAAAGTAGAATATAAAGTGAAGCAAGTAGGTTAGAAAGTGAAAAAAGTACATTAGAAAGTGACGAAAGTAGATTAGAAAGTGAAGAAAGTAGATTAGAAAGTTATGGAAAGATTAGAAGTTGTGTGGAACGAGTGAACGAGTGTTTGAGTGAGCCAGTGAGTGAGGTACAGTAACAGCAGGACACACGCGGTGGTATTACCATTAAGGCTAAGTGCTGCTGCTGATGTAGTGAGGCAGGGTGATGTAGATGAGGGGGGGGTGGGTGTGATTAAGGTGGGGGGGTGGGGGGAGGGATGGCTGGAATGAGAATGTTAACATTGCTCAAGGAAAATAATACACGGCCAGGAAAGTGAAATAAGAGAGAGAGAGAGAGAGAGAGAGAGAGAGAGAGAGAGAGTAATTATTATCAGGCTGACCAAAGACCATTCCTATCAACGACTTAAGCTGTAGTGTGGAGAGCTCTGTAGGGTACTGTAGTTTCTGTAGTCTCTGTAGGGTACTGTAGTTCTGTAGGGTACTGTAGTCTCTGTAGCTCTGTAGGGTACTGTAGTTTTGTAGTCTGTAGGGTACTGTAGTCTCTGTAGCTCTGTAGGGTACTGTAGTCTCTGTAGCTCTGTAGGGTACTGTAGCTCTGTAGCGTGTGTAGCTCTGTAGCGTGTGTAGGGTCTGTAGTTCTGTAGCTCTGTAGGTACTGTAGTCTCTGTAGCTCTGTAGGGTACTGTAGCTCTGTAGCGTGTGTAGCTCTGTAGCGTGTGTAGGGTCTGTAGTTCTGTAGCTCTGTAGGGTACTGTAGCTCTGTAGGGTACTGTAGCTCTGCAGCGTGTGTAGCTCTGTAGCGTGTGTAGGGTCTGTAGCTCTGTAGGGTACTGTCGCTCTGTAGGTAAACGTATAATGCCCGTATCCGTACACAAGTTTGCCGGATGAATAACTACACGAATTAGGCAAATGTTCATGATTATTGGCCGGTTGTAAATATGGTTGTTATCCGGTTGACTGGTCTTACTGGTGGTTTGGTTATCTAGGTTGACTGTATATATTATGGTGGTGAGGTATTGGGGGTGGTGGATGGTGGTTGGGGGGTGGTGGTGGTTGGTAGAGAGGGTGTGATTGGTTGGGGTTGGTTGACTAGGGTATAATAAGGATACTGGTAGATGAGGATAGAGAGAGGGGGGGGGGGGGGACTACTTAACCAAATAGAAGAATATAAACAACATGACCTGTGTTTACGAGAGACCACCTGATACACACACACACACACACACACACACACATGGACAAATCGTTAGACATAATTTCTCAAGGTGTATTACTGAGAGTTAAAAAGGCGTAAATGAGTATAAAAGGCATAATTGGAAGTTAAAAAGGCATATGTGATTAAAGAGGCATAAATGAGAGCTAAAGGGGCATAATTGGGAGTTGAAAAGGCATAAATGCATATAAAGGCATGAGTTAAAAAGGGCATACATTTCATAGTTTGCTAATATTATCCTATGCTACACAAAGGGCATAACCCACTCTCCCCAATATATACTACAACAAGTATTGGAAAAGGACACGCCAGATGATTCATAACTTCATTGATATTTCACCCAATAAAAAAATATATATATCCCCAAATCTGTTGTGTTGTGAGCGGTACTGTCAACAAAACCCCGGATGTGATAACGATACACTTCAGAGGAAAACTGTAGTTGTTAAGTTCTGATAGTTTGGTTGTTTGAGGTCATTCGTTTATTACTTGGTGGTTGGCTAGGACTGGGGGCGAGGGGGGGGGTGTAGTCTGGTTGATGCCTTTGAGTACCTGACTGTAATAATAATAATGGTAATAATAATAGTAATAATAATAATAATCATAATAATAGTAATAATAATAATAATCATAATAGTAATAATAATAATAATAATAATAATAATAATCATAATAATAATAGTAATAATAATAATAATAGTAATAATCATAATCATAATAATAGTAATAATAATAATAATTCAAATTTTATTTTCTATAGGTTGAGAAAGAAAGACACTTTTTCCCTCCCGAATGCCAGTGATACACACATGCCAGACGTATAACGAATGCTTAAAGAATAGATGAAAAAAACCCTCAGAATACCTAACAGTTTTAAAGCGTTTGAGATATCATACAAATTTTATTAAAAGATTCTTACACTTTTAGAGTTACATAAAACACAAAACAAACATTCCTCTGTACGATACCCCCAGTTCATGTTAGACATCAATCAATGCTCTTAGAATTAATAAAAGCATAAATATTAAAGAAACTACAAATAGAGACTGAATTAAATATGAAAAAACAGAATTGACACACACTCACACACACACACCAGTACAATACTGTTTCCGACTCATTTAACATAAGCCAAATGTACGATAAACCTCTCTCTCTCTCTCTCTCTCTCTCTCTCTCTCTCTCTCTCTCTCTCTCTCTCTCTCTCTCTCTCTCTCTCTCTCCTTCAAAAACCGCTCCGCTGACGTAGACGGGAAACAAAGTGAAAGGAATTATTCACACGACAACGTACCACAGTAAAGTGACCCAAAAATGCCTGTCTGTTCGTGTGTCTGAATAAACCAAACGACCTGGTGGTGGGGGGGGGGGTAACTTTAAAGCAAGATATCAATGGCTGCAATATGCAAATAATTGACGCGTTCATTCTTGGTGGGATTTGTTTTGTTTTTTACGTAATTTTTTCAAACTCTTACATATTTTTTTAAACTTTAAACTATACTTTAAAAAAAAATACCATACAATTTTTATAACACAATATGGTTATATATCGATTTTTTTTTAAAGTGATTTTTAAATAATAGTTGAATTATATAAAGTGATATTGAGAAATTTTAAAATCTTCGTCATGTTCCGAACTCTCAGAGAATAGTGAGGTAAATTATTCCTACACCTGAGAGATAAATTTGAATATGTAGTAAAGGTGTAGTACAGTCACGGAATAATTCGGGATCCATTTTGGTTAAAGTCTTTATCTAATGAGTTATGTGAACCGGATAAAGCCTCTCGCGTGTATCCAGCTTGAGGTAGGTAGGGGGGAGGGGGCGTGTAATGTGATTGGTTCTGTGGTATGGAGGATGGTGCAGGCTGTGGTGGTATGGAGGATGGTGCAGGCTGTGGTGGTATGGAGGATGGTGCAGGCTGTGGTGGTATGGAGGATGGTGCAGGCTGTGGTGGTAGGGAGGGTTGGTGTAGGCTAGTGGGCAGGCTGTGGTGGTAGGGAGGAGGGGGCAGGCTGTGGTGGTAGGAGGGTTGGTGCAGGCTAGTGGGCAGGCTGTGGTGGTAGGGGAGGCTTGGTGCAGGCTAGTGGGCAGGTTGTGGTGGTAGGGAGGGTTGGTGTAGGCTAGTGGGCAGGCTGGTGGTAGGAGTAGGCTAGTGGGCAGGCTGTGGTATGGAGGATGGTGTAGGCTAGTGGGCAGGCTGTGGTGGGTGGGAGGATGGTGCAGGCTAGTGGGCAGGTTGTGGTGGTAGGGAGGCAGGCTGGGTGGTAGGGAGGCTAGTGGGCAGGCTGTGGTGTGGTAGGGAGGGTTGGTGTGGGCTAGTGGGCAGGCTGTGGTGGTATGGAGGATGGGCAGGCAGTGGTGGTAGGGGGTGAAACAGGCCACTACAGAGGGTGAAACAGGCCAGTACAGAGGGTGAAACAGGCCAGTAGCAGGGGTGTAAGATTGACATTCAAGTAAGGCTCTGTTTTGGGGGGAGAAATCAAACAATGTCGAGGTCGTTTATGTCAGACATTTTCAGTAGCTGCAGGAGGAGTGGGGCGGGGGGGAGGGAGGGGGGGGGGCGTGGGGGGAGGGGGCGTGGGGGAGGGGGGCGTGGGGGAGGAGGGGTGGGGGGTGGAGGGGGCGTGGGGGGTGGAGGATGGAGGATTAACCCACGGTAGTAGTGTTTCATAAGTCAGGGTTATATTGTCAGTTTCTGTACGGTCTGTGGCTGTGTGTGTGTGTCATTCCTAGATTATTTTAGTGTTTGTTTACCTAGACAATATACTAATAATTTACCTTTATTAAAAATACTTACCTGTTCTCCCAAAATTCTTTAAAAAAATAAAGAAAATATCACAATTACAATACATTAATAAATTACACTAAATAACATTGCAATTGATTCATCTTTAGTATAATTAGAAACATTAATACTTATGAATAAACTTGTCATAAATTGTTGAATAATACCTTGTTATATATCATCTGGGGGTTATAGCCGTTTCAACACGTCATTATAATATATTGTTAATGGTTGGTGTTGTATCATTGTGGTTAGGGTAGGTTTACTGTGTTATGTTATGTTAGTTGTATGATGATTTCACTCTCTCTCTCTCTCTCTCTCTCTCATCCATCCTCTCTCACCATCACATCTCCTCCTCTCTCTCTCTCCCATCAAGACCTCTCTCAACATCAAGACCTCTCCCATCAAGACCCTCCTCCTCTACCATCAAGACCCCCTCCTCTCTCTCTCTCTACCATCAAGACCCTCCTCTCTCTCTCTCTCTCTCTCTCTCTCTCTCTCTCTCCTCTCTCTCTCTCTCTCTCTCCTCTCCTCTCTCTCTCTCTCTCTCTCATTAACCACCTCCCCCTTTCTCTCACTACCGCAGGAGGTCATGTTCATGGGAGTGGTTGGTCCCTACGACGAGAAGAGAGTCTGCAAGATCAAGTGTGTCAGTGGTCGCTGGGTGGGGCCTCTCTGTTCCCTGGAGCACGGTAAGTCACCTCTTTATCTGGGGAGAAGGTCATCTGGGGGTCAAGGTTATCTGGGGGTCATGGTTATCTAGGGGCCATGATTATCTGGGGGTCATGATTATCTGGGGGTCATGGTTAGGTTAGATTATCTGGGGTCAACGTTAGTTTAGTTTTCGTTAGGCTAGGTTATATGAGGTCAAAGTTATGCGGGTTAAGTTTATCTGGGATCATGGTTATCTAGGGGGTCATGATTATCTGGGGTCATGGTTATCTAGGGGTCATGATTATCTGGGGTCATGGTTATCTGGGGTTCTAGGTTTTTCCGGGGTTAAGGTTTCCTAAGGTCAATAGTAACACGATTAACAGGTGTCTTGATTATCCGGGGCGATGGTCAAGAGGTGTATACTTTATCCGTTTTATCCAGGGCCACAGTAAAGTGAGGTCACCTTTATCCAGGGCCACAGTAAAGTGAGGTCACCTTTATCCAGGGCCACAGTAAAGTGAGGTCACCTTTATCCAGGGCCACAATAAAGTGAGGTCACCTTTATCCAGGGCCACAGTAAAGTGAGGTCACCTTTATCCAGGGCCACAGTAAAGTGAGGTCACCTTTATCCAGGGGCACAATAAAGTGAGGTCACCTTTATCCAGGGCCACAATAAAGTGAGGTCACCTTTATCCAGGGCCACAGTAAAGAGTCACCATCCAGTAAAGTGAGGTCACCTTTATCCAGGGCCACAGTAAAGTGAGGTCACCTAAAGTGAGGTCACCTTTATCAGTCACTGTCCGGGCGTGAGGTCAGCTTTATCCTAGTCACTCTGCCTCCGTTTCTATGAGCTGTGAATTTTCCCCAGGATATGAAATCTTCTTGCCAAATATCACCAAACAGAAACAGTTTTAGCCAGGCCTTGAAAACACTGGGGCATGGATAACAGCTTTTCTGTTTTTCCAGGGTAAGAGAGGGAGAGAGAGAGAGAGGGAGAGAGAGAGAGAGAGAGAGAGAGGAGAGAGAGAGAGAGAGAGAGAGAGAGAGAGAGAGAGAGGGGGGTAGGGAAGAGATGGAAGGAAGAGGGAGAGAGGAGAAGAGAAGGGGGGGGCAGGGCAGATGGAGGAAGAGCAGGGAAGAGATGGAAGGAAGGGAGAGTGGAGGAAGAGAGAGGAAGGAGGGAGGAAGAGATATGCAAGATACTGTACTTGTATTGATGAAAACAAACTTAGAGAGAGATAGAAATATTTGTGTTAATAATAAAAAGCCCAAAGAGAGACAGACAGATAGAGAGAGGATGAGAGAGAGAGAGAGAAAACATGTAATAGAGAGAGTGAGAGAGAGAGAGAGAGAACCAACCAACCACGGTATAGTCTTTGATAATCTCAAAGGTAAAACACCCACGTCAACATCAAGGTGCACTAGTTATCACAGCCAGAGAGAACGTCTACAAAAATACTCATAACTTTATAAAATTAACTTAACAGTGTATTGGGAAACAAAATTTAAGTCACGAAAAATTATCATCGAATAACAATATACCAACAGAAAACGGGAAAATTTGCTACAGAAAACTAGTACATTTACAACAGAAAACGGGGAATAATATCATGACAAGTTAAGCAACAGAAAACGGGAAATTTTACAACAGAAAACGGGAAAATTTGCTACAGAAAACTAGTACATTTACAACAGAAAACGGGGAATAATATCATGACAAGTTAAGCAACAGAAAACGGGAATATTTACGACAGAAAACGGGGCAATAAATCAGTATTTCAATGGATAACTACACAAATTCTCTACCTTACACACTAACTGCTCTAACTAGGGATATAATTCGAACACAATCCTTCGGTAAGTCACGTGTATAAGAGGTGATCCGTACCCCTGTGTGTGGTGTAAAGCTTTTGATTGATACTGGTACAACACACGTACAAAATAAAGTGGAAATAATTATGGAAAATGGTAGGTATTGAGAGAGAGACTAGAAGTAAAAAAGATGGGAAGAGAGAAAATAAGAGAAAGGGAATAGGGAGAAAGAGAGAGAACGTTATAATGAGAGGTGGGGATAGGAAGGAAGACGTAAAGAGAGGGGGAAGGGGGAGAGGTAAGAGAAAAGGAAGAGGGGAAACGTGATGGGAATGGAAGATGGGGAGGAGGAGTGAGAGTTGAGGGGAAGGAGGAGAGAAAATGGAGGGAGTGAGATGGAGGATGAGAGGAAGGGGGTGAGAGGGACTGGAGGAAGTGAGAGGAGAGGGAGGAGGGGGGACACAGAAGGAGTGGGAGGGCGGATAATGGGTGAGAGGGAGGAAAGGGAGAGAAGGGGTGGGGGACAGGAGTAGTGAGAAGGGGTGGGGGAGGAAGTGAGAGGGGGTGAAGGGTTAACTAGGTTACTCTACACACTTGTTATTCATAGTGCCCCCATCAGCCACCTCCTTCCCTCTCCCTTATTGAGGTGAGAGGGAGAGGACAGGGAGGGAGGGAGGGGTGTGTCTAGGAAGGAGGATGTGGAGGAGGGTGAGGCAGGGAGAGGGGGTGTGTCGGGGGAGTGAGGGAGGGTGTGGAGGGAGAGAGGGGTGTGTCGGGGAGGAGGGAGGGTGAGTGGAGGGGGGGATGATGGAACGGTGTGTCGGGAGGGATGGAGAGAAGGGGGAGAGGAGGGAGGAGCAAGAGGTAGTGAAGAACGGGAGAGGTCAGAGAAAGAGAGAGAGAGAGAGAGAGAGAGGGGGGGTAGGAAGGACAAGCAGCTGAATTTTAAAACATCTCAACCAATTGTTCGCTCCGTGGAATAGCGACTTTTGGGGAGAGTTCACCATCCTGATAGTGAGGGTGATAGTGAGAGGTGATAGTCAGGGTGATGGTAGGTGATAGTGAGGGGTGATAGTGAGAGGTGAGAGGAGGTGGGGAGAAAGAGTGGTGATAGTGAGTTGATGGTGATGGGGAGATAGTGAGGGGTGATAGTGAGAGGTGATAGTGAGGGGTGATAGTGAGAGGTGGTGATGGGGAGAAGTGAGGTGAGGAGAGATGGTGAGGGTGATAGTGAGGGTGATGGTGATGGGGAGATAGTGAGGGGTGATGGTGATGGGGAGATAGTGAGAGGTGATAGTGGAGGATAGTAGAGGTGATAGTGAGGTGTGATGGTGATGGGGTGATAGTGAGAGGCGATAGAGGGCTGATTGTGAGTGGTGATAGTGAGGTGTGATGGTGATGGGGTGATAGTGAGAGGTGATAGTAGAATGATATTGAGTGGTCATAGTGGAGGGTGATAGTTGGAGAGAGCGATAGTGAAGGGCGAGAGGAAGGATGATGAGTGATGATAGTGAGGGGTAGTGAGGTGACAGTGAGTGGTAATAGTGAGGGGGTGGTAGTGAGTGGTGACAGAGTGGCAATAGTGGGGGTGGTAGTGAGTGGTGAGAGTGGTAATGGGTGGTGATAGTGGAGTAATATTGAGTGGTGAAAGAGAGGGTGATAGTGAGGGTGTATGGTGGTAATGAGAGCATAATGATAGTGGTAGTGAGGGGGTGGGGTGTAGTGTATACCAACAGCTGGGCGGGGAGGGAGGGAGGGGGGGGGGTGTAGTGTATACCAACAGCTGGGCAGGGAGGGAGGAGGGGTGGGTGGGGTGTAGTGTATACCAACAGCTGGGCGGGAGGGGGTGGGGTGTAGTACACCAACAGCTAGGGAGGGGGGTGGGGTAGTGTATACCAACAGCTGGCGGGGAGGGGGTGGGGGTGTAGTGTACACCAACAGCTGGGCGGGGAGGGAGGTGGGGTGTAGTGTATACCAACAGCTGGGCGGGGAGGGGTGGGGTGTGAGTGTATACCAACAGCTTTGGGGGGAGGGGTGGGGTGTAGTACACCAACAGCTGGGCGGGAGGGGTGGGTGTAGTGTACACCAACAGCTGGCGGGGAGGGGGGGGGTGTAGTGTACACCAACAGCTGGGCGGGAGGGGTGGGTGTAGTTTACACCAACAGCTGGGCGGGAGGGGTGAGGTGTTGTGCACCAACAGCTGGGCGAGGAGGGAGGGGGTGTAGTGTATACCAACAGCTGGGCGGGGAGGGGTGGGGTGAGTGTACACCAACAGCTGGGCGGGGAGGGGTGGGGTGGTGTAAACCAACAGCTGGGCGGGAGGGGGTGAGGCGTATACCAACAGCTGGGCGGGAGGGGTGTAGTGTACACCAACAGCTGGGCGGGGAGGGGGGGGGTGTAGCGTATACCAACAGCTGGGCGGGGAGGGGGGGTGTAGTGTATACCAACAGCTGGGCGGGGAGGGGTGGGGTGTAGTGTACACCAACAGCTGGGCGGGGAGGAGGTGAGGTGTAGCGTATACCAACAGCTGGGCGGGGAGGGGGTGGGGTGTAGTGTACACCAACAGCTGGGCGGGGAGGGGGTGGGGTGTAGTGTACACCAACAGCTGGGCGGGAGGGGGTGTAGCGTATACCAACAGCTGGCGCGACTCACCGACACGTTCTGACATGTTTCCTTCCGGGACAAAATAAGGTTAAACTTTCCCTGCCTCGCCTAAAATGGTTTTTCACTCCCCTCACTATTTTTACTTAGTTTTTTGTTGTGGAAGGTACACTACACGCAAACACACGCACACACACACACACACACACACACACACACACACAGGCCAATTCAACCCAGAAAATTTAAAAAAGAAATTAAACATCTTTTTCAACTCATTGTCCACGAAAGACTTGTATGACTTAGAGAGAAATGTCTTATTAGGAGAGTAGAATAATAATAACAATAATAATAATAACTAATAATAATAATAACAATAATAATAATAACAATAACAATAATAACTAATAATAATAATAACAATAATAATAATAACAATAACAATAATAACAATAATAATAATAACTAATAATAATAATAACAATAATAATGATAATAATGATAATAATAATAATAATAATAATAATAATAATAATAGTGTAAGTTGGGGGTAATAATTGAGTTTCCTTGTGTGAATTAATTAACCTGTGTGGATATGTAAGCTTACCTGTGTCGCTAGTGATTA